ATGGAGAGCAATAAAGAATTACTCTACATTTGAAAAATACAGTGAATTGATAGAATCATTCATTCATGGATTAAAAGCAACATCATCCCCATGCGTGAAATCTATTCATTTAATTTAATCAAAACATAGTGCAGCTACTGCCAATGCTGACTCGGGAGTTTCATAATTGACAAAAGAGGATTGTATGTGAATATATAATCCCTGCATACACACAGAAATGCCACATTTAGTCTTAGAAGCGATAAGAAAACTGCACCTCCAAGCATCTGATAGAAAGGAAACAGTGAGCAGCATGTAACATGTCTTTGAATGGACTTTTTCATTCATGAAATAATCCTAACATCATCAATCTAGAGATGATAATGATAGAAGATACCCTATGTGTGTGCGTGTGTATGTAAGTGTGTGTTATTCAGGGTGTGAATAGTGTAAAGTGCTCACAATGTTGTCCACCCTACACTGGTCAAAGTGAGCTGTTTAATGAAGTGAAACAGTGATTTCTAAAGGGCAGTGACGCACAGCTCCGCTTTAATCCAGATTACACTGAAACACTAATCCTGTAAAAATACTGTTTCTTTAAAACAAATATGTTTTTCACCCTAATATGTAATGTCTCCGGTGTGTATTTGATTGCTGTATTCAGCTTGGACTTGTATACAATGTTGTTACAGGTCTATTTGTCATGTAAATCAGGCTGTGTAGAAACGGTGTGATTTCTCAAGTTCAATGAATTGATTGGAGGAGCAGCTGTGGTCAGCATTATCATTGATTGTGCTCAACAAGATCATGTGTGTTGGTGTGTGCAGCCGTATGTGTCCGGGGTTATATAACTGGCTCCACATCTGACAGTGAATCTGTGGTCCATCCGATGCACCAGACTGACATTTCACCTTGTTGTTTGCGCTTAGCACAGCCTGAGGTCTATCAGGAGGTGTTGGAGACAGAGTCTGACAGAGATGGTGATTCAAAGGGATCAGTGTAGATTTGGCAAAAGATGATACGCTCCAGGTTGAAGGCCTGACTCGTGTTTGTTCCACCTCTCATTGAGCAGCAAAAAGGATTCTGCACACAAGTAGAATGAGGCTGGTTTGTGAAAATGAGAGCTGCAATGCTGTTGTTTTAACTTTCATACATCTTCGCTTTCTAAAACGTACATCTTTTCAAATGTAGCATACACATTGCGTGTTAAGTCATCTTTCTGAGGACAGAAAGTTGTAGTTTGATATTATAAAACATAACTGAGATAAATGGAAAGAACATTTTGTAAATAATGGCTTACCCATTGGTTGATTAGCATGCTATGATTCCAAACATCACACCTCCTAAACTAATTAGCAGGCTACTCTATTGATGTCAGATTAGGAATAGCCTCAGCATGAGCCGCGTGTAAAGACTGTGGGGCTTGTTTGAAATAGAAAAAACGATTAATTCCTTGCTTTTGTAGTTTATTTTAATTCAACATAACAAAACTCAAGCAAACATTTATACTTTTGTTATTAGGATTGTGTGCCTCACCAAGTGGGCAAGAACACCTTTTCAAATGATCACATGTAAAACACAAAGAGAATGAAACAAACCTAAAACCAAATACTAAAACACATATTAAACCACAGAAATTTAAAATGTCAAATCATAGAAAATCAATTCTATTGTTCTTTAAAAAAAAAAAAAAAAAAAAAAATACAAGATGGAGTTGATCTGAAATGTCTAGCTTTATTCTCAAAGTGGATAATTAAACATGCTCTTTATACAACTGCCTTTAGTTCATCCAGCACAACATTACATTAGCTCAACATATTACATTAGCTCAAAGCATTATGTAGCGGCCAAAATCCTATAGAACTAAAACAGCCGCTGAGGCACTAGTTAGCGGATCTTACGCAGGGCAATGATCATCCAAGTCCAGACAAGAACCTCCATTTGTGCAGTTTATTCCAATAACAAAGTACAATGAACAGGTTTCCTATATCTCTTTTCCTTAAGCCTTTCCTATGGCTTTCCTTTGTGTGCCTTGAAACACCCTGGTAAAAAGCCATTTGCCTATAGTGCTCTGGCTCCCACCACCCACCTGTCTCCAGTATATACAATTACACCAGGTGCTCTAATCACAGTGCCCAAACATGCCTTCAAAATAAAAGCATATAAACTGCTTTAACTTATGACACTAACTAAGAATACATTTACAATAAACACTATAAACAGCAAGAAAATAAATGTTAAACTATTAAATAATATAAAGAGATATATAGCTCCAACACATTACATTAGCTCAAAACATTACATTAGCTCAAAAGTTAACCGCATTTTATTTACTCCCACGTCAGTTGATTCCATTCATCTACGATTGAGGATTCACTTTCTTATGCCGAGGTTGATGCAGGGAAAAAGTATTCAAAATCACATGATCTGTGGCTTATTTCTGATTGGGGCTACCAGTATTATCTTGGGTTGCAACCATCCTTATCTGCCTCTTTACCATTTTCAGTTGTTTTCTCCCTCATTGCTCAGGAGAATGCTGATTCATATAACTTTCTGTTTCTTTCTGGAACAGTCTTCACTCACTGTGATTTTCTCTTCCTCCTGCACTCGTGGTCATGGTGCTGTGTAATCCTTTCAAAATCCCATATGAAAACTTCATTGGTTGACCAGACATAATCCTCAGTGGACTCTAAGTACCTGAATATGTTTGATTGTAATAGAGGGAGAAAAGAAAAAGCGCTAACTGTGGTCTGCTGCCAGACATTGGGATTGAAACTATATTATAATCCAGCAGTAGACGTAAATCTCTGGCCATGTGCGGTTTAAATAATTAATCTGTGAGCATCATCTATGACGTGGAAAAATCACCATTCAATACTAATAAACCAAAGAGAGAAAGGAGAGGAGGAAAGTAATGCATTAACTTTTCTAATTCTTTATTGCATAATGTTCCTAGAATCTCTAAAAATCCCTTTATGTTGGCCCAGCTGATCATGTTGGCCTGCAGCGGTTTAGGAAGTGGGGTCAAAGTAACTCTTCCAAGCAGATGACAGCTCCATATGTCCATCAGTGTCTGGGGACTTGGATGTCCCTGTCATAAAGGGTCTGATGGAAGTTTTATATTGATTATAATGACAATAATCTGCTCATGGCGGATGCGTGAAGCACATTTAATCCTTTTTTCAAGAGGGTTACATGACATCTGAAGTGTCTAATCCGTGAAGTTCTCCCTGCAGATGAGTGAATTAGCTGGAACAAATGAGAGTGATGCTGATGACAACAGGGCTGCTGTACATCTCTGCTTTATTACGCAACAACCTGCTCCACTGACAGGCTGGCGTCAATTAATCTGCTTAGAAACCCCAACAGGGGCTTCTACTGTATGTTGTGACCTCTGGGTGTTATCTTTATCGTGCTGGTGGAAAGTCTATGTAATTGGAAAAAAAAAACCTCTTTAATCAAGCAAAAGTAGTACAAAAATACATCAAACACATCAAACTGTACTGTTACTCGAGTCAATAAATACTTAAGTAAAACTATAAAAACAGGATTAAAGTACTCAATAGACAGAATGACCATTGTAAAATACTCTATGTACAGATTGGCCCTGGTATAGATATACATAAAACCAATACCTTCCAGCACTGCACGCAATATCATTTTAACTGCCACTGTGGGTATTTTAATACTAACTTGTTTATTAATGGTGGGTTTAATACGTTTTCACTCATAATAATACAGCAAAAAAACACAAAAAGACAATTAGTCCAGACCTCCTTTATTAATAATCAAAGAATTCCTGGATATTTGACATTTAGTTTTTTTATTTTAGGTTAATCACAGGTCACTTCTGGTCTTCTTTAAACAGCAATTGGGGAAAATAAGATAAATGAAACATTGAACAGTGTATACTATTGTCTATCTGGGCTCCTAACATCTGGTGATCACCACTAACAAATATATAAGGATTTCAAAGGACGACCCACTTACAATCAGCCATTTTTCATTTAGTGGGAGAGTTCAGTTGTGAATGGACTTGTTTGTGCTTCTGAGAATTTAAATGATGATGTGTCATTATATAGCAAGTATCCATATGGTGAAAAGATGTCCACCTACTTAAGTTCTTAACACATTTTTATAAGTTTGTCATATGTTGCTGACACTCCTTATTACCCCATCACAAAAAACACTTGGTTTTTGAAACCTACTGTAGTAATATTGATTATATGATAACCAGTATGTTATTGAGTTTTGTCTAACGCTGTGGTTAAACAATACATTTCAAAGACATATCTAAGTAATGCTCTTTTTAGGATAAGGTTTAAAAGGAAACATCATATGTGAAGGAAAACATTTGTTGTAGTTATTATTATTTATGATTTGAAAAATGTAATATATAAATTAAAAACTGTCCTTATTCTCAAGCATAGAAGGGATTTCAATAACATGAAGGAGCCCCCATAGATTATTCCATTTTAAAGCTGAATCTAAACCAGACTCCTCCCATTTCTCAATGTAAGTGTTACGCAGATTTTTATTTGTAAATCTGCAGGCCAGAAGCATGTCCAGTTAATCTAAAGTCATCTACTAATCTCCAACTGGTTGTGGGGGCTGTGTATTGAAGAATGGTCCTCTTGTTTAGAGGATTAGTGCAGTTCTACTCTGGATACAAAGGTCACTCGCGACCGCACATCGCATGACGATAGTGGCATGCACACACTTTCAAATGTCATTGACAGGTGCAATAAACAAGGAAGGACGTCTTCAGGCCCAGAGAGGTGAACGGTTCATACATCGGACACACACTCTGTTAGCTAGTATATGTCTATTTAGTTTGAAGCTCCTTAGATAACCCTCTTTATATGGTCATCCCAAATGACGTCAGTTTTAGAGAATTTGTTAAAAGGAACCCATTATGAAAATCATCCGTATCTAATAAGAGAAATCAAATTAAATCACACATTTACCAGAAAAAACTGAACAATTGTGTGTTTGTTACAGAAGTAGCCATGTTGCGTTAACATACTATAAAGAAATCATTCTTCACTTAGAAGTCCTTCAAGTATCTCACAATGTGTGTATTTATTTTTCCTTAATAGGCTAATTCATATATTCGGTTGACAAAATGTAAATAACACTACTGTAGGAACAAAGGACAACTATTCCTGGACAGATGTTGAAAAGGGAAAAAGGCCACCTCTGTTCAAGACACAGCACATGCACTAACACTCACAAACAGAAACATAGGTACCTATGAGAAATCACCATGACAGTAAGTGTATATTTGTACATGCTTAGTTTATTTGGACTTGTTCTCAATTTGAGGAACTTCAATCTTTTCCCCGGTGAGGAACTGCCAGATGCCTCCTCTGTAGTTCTCATTTCCCAAAGCATACAGGAAGGCGTTGAAGATGGGGGAGGTCTTTGCCAGGATGGGAGCCAGCTGCACAGAGAGGGGTGAGTTATCAAGTGATAAAGCAGAGCAGTTTGTTCAGCTAATTATTTAACACCACTGTGTGTAGAATCTTTATGAGTATAATGATGATATATACATTCAAATAATTATTTTTATTGTACAAAAACAAGACTATTCCATTGGGAATTGGTGCACAATCCTTTCTGCCACTGAGGCATCTTAAAATTCTACATATTTAAGATATTTCCTATGTATGTGTGCCTCTAAAATAATTCTAGTGGATGGTCCTTACCATCCTGAGCTTGGGGGAGACCAGGTTGGCGTTCTCCACAACGGCGTAGAAGCACAGGACGCCATAGGGGCACCAGCACAGCAGCATGGTCTTCAGAGGAGTGTTGGGGTTGAACTACAGAGATAGAGAGAGAGTAGTAGGGATACCAATTAATGTAGTTACAAATCAACCATAAGCAGTGAAGGAGACACAAATGCCTCGAGTCATGAGGTGCAGTCACACGCCTGGGATCATGTCTGGGAGAGAAGCAGTGTCTGTGCTAAGACCACTCATGCTCAGCTATAAAAAAGAAACAGCTAGTGAGTAAAGGGGCAGTTTGCCTAATCCTAGGGTCAAGTAGTCATTATTCTGAGACCAAATGAACACATTCTGTGTAAATGTAACCCCTAACATACAGGTCTGCTTCTTAAGTAGCTTTGCAGTTGGACATTCTTTTTAATTTAATCCATACATATATGTTGTTTGAGCTCTGCTTTGAAGTTATATGATCTTTAGACTAAGTTACATTTTCCACACACAACTTCTGGTTTTGAGTATTGACCTGAAAATCCAGGTACAGAAGCATTTGAAGATATTTATAAAGCATCAGACACAACTTCTGACCAACAGCGACAGGCTGCTGCACCCCCGCTGTCTCACGGAGAGATACCGCAGGTCCTTCCTTCCTGCTGCGGTCAGACTATACAACCAGCACAGCCCCTAGTAGACTGTGTAATATATACCTGGCTGCTAAATCCTAAGAATTGTTACAGGATGTGTATTTTGAAAATTATGTAACTTTTTATTTTTTATTATATTTTTTATTATATCATAACTTAGTACTTTTTTTTAATGCATGTAACATATGTAACATATGTAACATTAAGCTGTCTGTGGCTCTTTTACCTGCTGTAACTACGCACATTTCCCCTCCGTGGGACTAATAAAGGTATTCTGATTCTGAACAGGCAAGTTTATGCCCCCAACTTTTCATAGCATATTGTGTGACTATATTTTCCATAAGGATATTGCTCTGGTGGAGAGCTCGGTGTCTTAGATCCGGAGCCATTGAGTGTGTGATGGAAGTGTCTCCAACTCAGATGACTGTTAGTAATGGCTTTATGCAACATAAAGTGAGGCAACCTGATTCAGGCCCTGAGGAACTCCATTATTGAACTCGCCATTCACAGATACATTTTTGTTTTCACCACGCACCAGCTACTGTCCACATTCCCTATGAAGCACCCGGTCTTCCCTCTGGGGCAGTGACCTATATACATTATGTCACTGCCTGCATGCTGCCCATTCACTGTCTGTTTTGTCACTCTGAATATGTCCACAGGAGGAAGTGGCTTCCCATGCTTACTCCAGAAAGAGATGGAATAGATGTCAGTGTTGGTTTGTGAAAATTATTAGAAGAATATTGAGAAATCACAAGTTCTCAAAGTCCAAAGTGAATTATTTCAAATGATTGTTTGTTCTAAACAATAGTGCAATATTTCAAATTATTAAAAAATAAATGAAAGGTTTTCCTGTTTTATGAACCTTATATATGTCTTAGCGTTAAAAGGTTTGTGCTAATCAATGTCCTGTCAACTGACTAATTATTTTAGCTGTAAGTGTTTATACTTTTGGTTAGTTTAATTAAAAGAAGAATATATTTTATAAGCTTTTCGTATGTTTAAACTATTGTAAAATAAACTCAAGCTTTCCAATAAATACGGGGGAGAAGATAGAAGTGGCTAACAAGTTAAGTAACTAACATTGCACTTAAGTCCACCACTGCCAATGTAAGCTTTCAAAGCAGAAATAATCTTTATCTTAATTGTGTATTTGGTAGGAATTCTCTGTTACTTACAACTACAGTACTATTGTCTTGGATTTATAGTCTTTTCTAAATTCCTCTGCATCAAGCATACGTTTAAAATCGATTTTGGAGCAAACCAGTCTGCCTCCATTCTGATATGAAAATATGTTCTTAAGTTGTTGGAGTGGACTTAGTCTGTTTTTGGTTGTTTTTTAACTTACCCTGGGGTTGCCAGTCTTCTTGAATTTCTGTGCAATGGCCTGGTAAGAGGACATGACAACAAACACCTGGATAGCCATGTTAAAGATGGACATTGGGATCAAGTAGGACACGTAGTTTCTGTTGAGATAAAAATGAACAACAGTTGTAAAATCTGTATAAACTGCTCCCAGTGAGGGACAGACAATGCATTGACATCTATTTGAATTGTGTTTTCATTGTGAAGAGTGTGTGTGTGTGTACAGCACCTGTCTCCCTTGGTGTAGTCCAGAGTGCAGCAGGTCCTGAGGGGCTCGTAGTCGTACTCTCCCCATCCGATGAGGGGCATAGCGGCCCAGAAGGCAGTGAAGAGCCAGACGAACACAGACAGAGTGATGGCGCTGCTCCACTGCAGCTTTGTCCCTGATAAGAACAGGATCACAATCATCAGTTTCTAACACCTCCAACAAAGGCCACGCTACTATAAAAGTGATTTCCTTTTATGTGGTCAAACTAGCTTTCTAATAAGCACGGTAAATGGTGTAAACTGCAGATCATGTGCTGGGCAACATTCTCTTTCTCTGCTATTCTGCAACTAACTATGACTCAAAGAGAGCCGTTTCTTTAATGTATCACCATGAAAATATATGACTTTCTTCTCAACATCAAGCCTTCCAGGTCGCAGTTTTAACACTATGTTATTATCTGTTATAACAATGTTTGTATTTTAAAAGGATATGTGTTCATTATTCCGACAGGGTGCAAGAACGGCCTGTGGCAAATTAAAAGACAACTGGCAGCTGGCCTCTTCAGAATAGCAGGAGGTCTTAAGATCAGCTGGAGACCAAGAACAATAACCCGCTACTTGGATGTCGTGTGCATGTGAGTGTGTGCGTTTGACTGTGTGTGTTCTTGTATGAGAGCCTGTGCTTCAGGGGGGGGAGGGAAATAAGAATGCCATTAGCTGTAATTGTGTATTTCAGGACAGGGGACATAGCAGATGTTGACCTACTGGTGCAGTACTGGTGGTATCTGTCCCAGGCGATGGCGGCCATGAAGTGGATGCTGGCGAGAGCTGTAAGGAAGCCATGGAAACCGTGAGTCTGGCATCCCTCAGAGCCATAAGGCCAGTACCTGGAGACAGAGGAAAGTGATGAATTAATTAGTCAAAACAATTATTTGTCAAATATAGATACAATATGAACACACAGACATTCATAGAAGCAATGATTTATGAAAGCAGTTAATATATTAATTTCAGACTATGGGTCTTTACACAAATAATATATACTGTATAACAATAATAGTTGTTATTATCCTTAGACCCATAGACACTGAGAGCAGCATCTAATCTCACTCTTCCAGTTTAAAAATCCCCTGCAGGGCACATTATGACACAGGATTTAGCCTGTATCGACCACCCCCCCTCCACTTTACACTCCTGATTGTTCCTCCCTGTATCGATTTTACAGATACGTGTACATTAATCATATTGTGGGCAGCTAGCCAGGTATTATATGTACATTACATTTCATTTGGCCACATTGACTCAGACCTTGGCATCTGTTATGAAAGGGGCGGTTACATCACTCACCTCAGGAAGCTGGAGAAAGCGGCGATGCTGGCGTTCATAGAGATGCCAATATCAGCCATCGCTAAACTGAACACAAGGAAATTGCTGGGGGTCCTGAGCTCTCTCACTTTCAGGAAAGCAACGATTGTCACCGCATTTAGAAGGAAGCCCAGCATGCCTTTGGGAAAACATAAATAAACAATCATGAATGAAGGCAGTGTGTGGCGATGGATGGAAATCAGTGCGCGCAGACACAGAGGTGCTTTCTGCGCAACATGCAGCACCGTGACATTTCATAAACATGCTGCTTGTAAACATCGCAGTCAGGTATTTGTTTACAGACTATACGTGAATTCATTTGCGAGTTTAGTGAATAACAGACCCTGCCTACCACAACGCTATACTACCAGTGCCTGGGTGGCGTCAGGTCCTTAGGTTAATGCCTCACAGCGGGAGCAGGCTCGCAGTATGTTGGCTCAATTCCAGCACAAAACAAAATTACTCACCCTCCACCAGCAGCATGGTTCCCAGAGAGAACACATCAAAGTCGGAGAAGCCCTCCGGTAAAGGGTACGACGAGACCATCCTGAAGCCGAATTGACACAAGTGCAGCTGTCACAGACTTTTCACTCCTTCCAACCCGGTGGTTTACGATGTGCTTCTGTTTGGCTGAAGGAGCCTGCTTTTAAAGGGGCATTTCACGTGGAAAGCATGCACTTTATTATGTAAAGCCCCCCACTCGCTTTCGCCCCAATCCGTGCTGGAATGTCTTAATGAACATAACCACACAAACCGCAACCCTTAATGCGTATTTGCCCACCGCAATAGTAAAGCCCTCAATTAGTTACACAACAAGCCTTTGTGTCCTCGCGTCCCGGTGAGGATGCAGCCGCTGCTGATGTCAAAGGACTGACGACGTGTTTGATGCAGCCCACAAATCTGCGTCGCTTTAAGGAGACACAACAGGTGTCTGCAGAGCCCCAGCCCCTGCCAATCAAAGCTACACCCACAATAAGGAAGATAACAAAACCCTCCAACCACAAACGGTTCTCTCCACTAAGAAATAACACAAATAACCCCATTATTTTCAGACTTCCATGTTCTTGCCAAAGATTGTGTTTAATTCATTATGCCTTATAATTTCAAGCACATTCAGTTTGTATTTAATATAATGTATGTGATGTAGTTGAATTCATTATAGGTTAGTAATTCTCCATTCCCTGATTGATGACACAAAGTGATTATTGAGACCACACAGAGGATCCATGTAAGTACTGTTGATCTGTATATTTATTAATCCTTTGTCCCATATGGCAGGACTCTCACATGGACTAGTGGATATACAATTGGACAAGTAGGCCGTGGTTTTGTGGACATCTTTTAGTTTTTTGTAGGGAATACAACTTTTGATAGACAGACTGACCTCAAGAGATTAAACCAACATGGCATCAGCCTTAAAAAATAGATGACCAAAGTAATTGCCCTTTTTTAACTCAAGACACAACATGTGTCAACAGAAAGAGTTTCCTGGGCGATAAGATAAAAACATGTGACGTGAAATTAAAGGCTTCGTTCCCATTCAGATTTATGTGAATGACATGACATCCAGCCATCATCCTCAGGCTTCAATGGATTTGTCATGCTTCATTGCAACACCATTGTAAGCTTTTCAGGCCATAAGGATGTAGGGGACACAATCATGACATTGTGTTGCTCAAAATGTTTCAGTCCCAGGTTTATAAGATCAAAAATCTTGGAAATATATAAGCAAATGTGTGAAAAGTCCTTAATCATATGGAAATGCATAATGGTCAAGATCCAATATATATCTATATATATATACATTTTTGGAGACTTTATATCCCGTTGTAAAACCAATGGCTCCCAACAAAAGCTCCCACAATCCATATGCCCTTAGTTGACCCCAACATGAGTTTAAGGGTCACATGAATGCAGTTGGCTATTTTTAGTTGAAATTTGCTATTTTAAATAGTCACACTAAAAAAAAAACGTCATAAAATGTAATATTAAATTAAAATAAAATAAAATGGTAAAGAATTGCTGAAACAAAAAAAGTAAATGCAATAGTATTTGGATGGTTTTTTCATGTCCTTTTCTGCTGAAAGTGGTCGTGCACCACTTAAGCAAATTCTAAATGTCTATTTTGACAACTCTTACTTTATTTATTAAGGACTGATATTAAATGATACAGCAATGTTCCAAAATCCCATTCATTCAAATGCTTCTTATGGGTTCTTTTTAGATTTGTTGCACATTAAGAATGACATTGCAGCTCAAACTAAGTCCAGTCTTCTGGTTCATACGATGTCAAGGGTGGCTTTATTCATTGGCTTCAGCAAATTAGATTAACTACTTGCAGTGCAATATGGAATGTTTCGAGCATGATTGCTCAACACCTTCAGCCTCAGTACAGACATGCACCATTGTAAAACCCTTCATAAGGACTGACCTGTGACTCAAAGGGATATAACGTATACGAGGTTAAAGAGTGTGATCAATCTTAAATGTAGGCCAAATATCAAGGGAGTTACTCTTACTATTTCTTTTGATATATCATTACCAATCGATAGGATTTATTCATCTCTATCAACCTTTGTTGTAGTAAAGCCTTTGACCTGGGTCTGTAGTAAATAACATTCAGATGTAAAGTGGGTTCTTGCTGCCAAGTTGTTTGCACACAATAAAGCCAGGGTTTCGTCATCTCTTACGGACAGAGTTGGCACACAGTGCTAACAAAGTGTAACACTGAATTCCCAGCGTGAAGAAATACCAGGGGAACACAGATCTTATGCCAAATAACTTATGCCGTATTTAGCAACATTGCAAAATAAAAGCTTTTACAGTTGGAGGTATTATTCTCTCGTACTCGTAGGACAATCAAATCCGTTACTAAAGGGGAAATCGTAAGGCCTCTGTGAGTTTCTTTCCTTCAATCGGATTTAACATACATTCCTTTCTATTTTGGTCTTGTTCTTTCTTCTGACACATTACGTTCATTTAGAAAAAAATCTTTCTTTGTTTCCTGTTACTGAATGCCCAGGTAAAAAATGAACTATAACTAATAAAACACTTATAATATATAAGATACCATCATATATACAGTATGATAAAGTACCAATGTACTGTATGAATAATACATTTCAAATATATTTTAATGGGATTGGAATGACTTTCAAGAACACCTCAAATAACAGGAATGTAAAACAAGAATATTTCAAAGAAAAATAAGTGTAAAACAAGAAAATAAAGCTGGAATAAACTATTTTAAGTAGTATTATATAAGTATTTATTAGTAAGAAAACAGTTGTACCTAAATGTAAGGGCATCTTAATGGTTTCTCAATACAGTCAAGTACATTTAGTTGTGGTTTGGTTGATCTTTAATGCCAGGAATGTAACACCATACATTACTAAGTTCATTCTTAATACAAAACAATTATCACCTCTTAAAAAAAGAGTTAATAAAACACTTAAATCAAGTAGACTTCATTTTACTACTTTTAATCTGGGAGTCATTTATGTGCAGGTACAAAAATGGGTCGAAGGTGCAATATGTTCTTCTGTGATTAGGGACACTTTGTGGTGAAACTTTTTCTAATTTCAGGCAGCAGTAGCAGGGTCCTACTTTGCATGAAAAATATTACTGTAAAATGACTGTTAAGATAAATCAAAGTATCTATATCTGCCTTCTGACGGAAGCGGTGTTAGTTGTCATGTTATTAAAATATGAGAAGTTCTCTGAATAAGAAAAAAGGATGGATATATTTAGACAATGTTGAGTGAGCATCTGTTGAGTGCAAAAGCTCCAAGGTAGGAGCCACAGGCTGTGATAGGGGCCACCTTGTGGTAAAACACAGCGCTGCCCGTTTACAGATTAACAGTCACGGCAGGGCTCAAATGAACAAACTACATTGGAGGGAAATAAAAAATCCAAACATCACAGTGGATTATGACCATTTCGGAAGTGTTTTTCTGTGATAATAAATAGGGACGTCTCTGCGCAGCCTATCGGATTCAGGGATGGAATACGCATCCAAATGAAAAGAACGCCAGTCCTTTCGCTAATCCTTGTCTATCCTTTTTATCTCGGGACTCATAGCAGTCGGATCACTATGGGACAGCGAAGCGGTGGGACAAAGCGATGCGGATGATATTCCTGTAAATGAGAGAAAAAAATCCAGTCTGTTTAACTTCAGTGGGCGCAAACTGGGCGCATGTAGGTAAACTGCGTATGCGTAAAAGAGGGCCAAAATGTTCCTCGTCCTGCTCCTGGGGCTTTACTTGGGCACAGGTGAGCTTTTCTCCCCAGTGAGCTCCTGCCCGTCGCAGTGCAGCTGTTTTTACCACAACCTGAGTGATGGATCAAAGGCCAGGTAAGGATGTCCAAATGCAAATGATTTTAAATCAAAAACACACAAAAGCAATTGTTCTCTTTTTTGCGCACAGACACATATTTTAAATGCACAGGTATACTCATATGAGGACAGATGCTTGCAAAGAGCTGAACACGTGTTCCAAAGATAATTCAGGGAGTGCATGTCGGTCCAATTTTATTTAATGCAGGATTATCTCTGAAAGGCACTTTCAACCTTCCTATCTATGCGTTTTTTTGAGAGTTCGGATGGCTTTGGAAATATATTTTTTTCCAGATTGATTAGCCACACATGTATTTGCTAGTGAACCTAACACTGTTATATCCCCTATATTTTAACATTATTTAATTTTAGACTTCAATGCAAGTCTCCAAACTTTTTATTTTCATTTACTTTGTAATGTTCACATGTCATTAAATGTAAACTTTTTGAAGGGTTATCTGGAAGTGCACACAAATTAACAAATGTCTCTCTCTTTTAGGAGTGTGATCTGCAATGATCCCGAGATATCTCTTGTGCCTGTCGGGTTTCCTGTTGACACGTCCAAACTGCGCATTGAGAAGACGGCCATCCAGCGGATACCGAGCGAAGCCTTCATCTACCTCTCCAGTCTGGAATTCCTGTGGATGTCTTTCAACACGCTCTCCGCCTTGAGCCCGGACAGTTTCCGGGGACTGCTCAACTTGGAGGAGCTTCGTCTGGACGGGAATGCCCTCACCGCCTTTCCTTGGGACTCTCTGATGGACATGCCCAGTCTCAGACTTCTCGATTTGCACAACAACCAGCTCACCTCGCTGCCAGCGGAGGCCACCACTTACATCAAGAACCTCACCTACCTGGATCTGTCCAGCAACAGCCTGCTGACCCTGCCGGCAGAGGTGCTGTCCACCTGGCTCGTAGCAAAACCTGTTCAAGGGCCAGAGAGCTCCAAGATGATACTTGGTAAGGACTTCAGTCAGGATGTATGCATGTCTCAATTCAGAATACGAAAGGTAGCTTTTAACACTGCGCGTAATGGAAGAGTGTTAATTAATTCATCAATCTTGAATGGAAGCTGAAAAAAGCAGTTGCTAAGCAACGCATCGTTTGATGTATGGTTGGGGATGGTCGGTAGTAGTTAATAAAAAATTCCCCATTAATATTTGAAGAGGTGCTTTGGAAACCATGTAACACATTCTGCATTAAAGACCAA